AAAATATTTTCTCACTTAATTTTTTCTAATACAGTTGCCATACATTTTTCCCATTTCATATTATACAAACACTACTAACGAAGTAAATCACCAAATGTGGATTTAAGTACAAATTAAACTAAAAAAATTAAAGCACTTTAGAAATAAAAAAACAACCTCATAAAAAATTTATTAAAAAAAAGTCAACCTGAAACAAAAATTAATTAAAAAATAAGAATATGATTTTTTTTTTTTTAATGGAAAAAAAGACGAACATGATAGGAAGCAATTTACATGAAAAAGAAAAAGTCGTTTCTTGGATGTGGCTGTGCCGATTCCATGGTGTACAGCAATCCACGATCGCAGCGTCCCTTGAGACGCGCAGATACACTTACCGGAACAATTCTTGGGCCGGGCCTTCTAGTTCTGAGATAAAAATTGTGAAGGAACAAGATGCTATTCCAAAAGTAACCTTGAAAAATCTCATAATCCACTGTTGTGTACACTAACCATAGAATTATATGCCTCTTTGTTTCCTATGGCTACTCGGCTGTGTGTTGATTTTACATGTATTTCCTATGGTTAACATATGTCCATTTCACAGTTTGAAGCCTACTGATTTGATGCAAGAGCTTGAACCTGAATGAATGGAACTCCGAGGGATATTTTGGCCGCCTGCCTCTTGGTGTTCCCGGATTAACTTCAGAACAAAAGCATCGTCGTGCAAGGAGAATGGTGTACTGCCAAAAAGAAAATGATGAAATAATAAGTCATTTCTTAGTAAGATGTATATAAATATGTCTATTGTGAAGATACTAGCCTGTTAAAGTCGAAATGCACTAACTTTGTGTCCTCAGAGATCTCAATCTCAACTGTAGCATGTGGTTTTGTCTAGAAGACACAGAGGGAAAGACCATAGAATAAATGAAAGGGAATTTGGGAAAGAGCAAGTTATGCTAAATTCAAGCACCACCATCATACATGTAGAACCTAGTATAGATACATACTTGAACCAGCATAAATGGCAAGGTAAATCCTTCCCTAGGTGCATTATGGTTCTCGAACAACTTCTGATTCCTTGACAGTATATGTTCAAGACCTGCTATCTTTACCCCCAGAAAAGTTACAGCACAAAGAGTATAAACATCATTAGATGGAACAATTATGACTAGATAGTGAATAACATCAAAAAAGTAGTCACATTAACCTCTTTTGAGGGAGTTAATTTTTTTTTTTTAAAAAAATGAAAAATAAAAAAGCGAGCCTTGTACCCTATCCTTGAATAATCAAGAAAATTCTGTGAAACTTGAATGTCAAAAGCAAAATTGTACAGTTGTTATTTCATGATCGCTTGGAGTTCTATGTTAAATCTTAATGCAAATATAAGCTTTCTAAGAACTCCAATATCATCCGTTAGTGTAGTTGTCTGGAACAAAGCATAGTTTAATTAATAAATAATCAGATTACATTACCTGTTCTTCTAACTCTTTCAAGTGGTCTGCTTTCCTTTGAACCCTCGTTGTTAGATTAACATGCTGTGCCTACAAACATTAAGAACAAAATTGCTGACATTATATTTACCAGAATATATCATAATCCCTCAATATTCCATGTCTACATGCTGAAGTTTGTGCTTCTTTGTACCACTGTGTTAGTGTGTGGGAGGGTCAGGGTCAGAGAGAGAGAGAGAGAGAGAAATCCCTTGATATTTAATGATATATATATATATACCTTTATCATTCCTAAGTCCATTGAACACCTAGAGGGAAGTCCCTTCCACTGATATGCTTTCTCCTCTTTTGTAATTATATCTGATGCCTCAAGAACATTTAATGCATCATAGACCCGTCTCCGAACATTTTCATGGAACTGAAAAACATGAAACATTAAAATCTTATAGTACATCTAAGTAACAAGCATGACATTATCATAGAATAAGTACTTCACGTTCACAGGGGAAATAAACCTTATCCGATGAAGCTCCTGCATTGTTGTGCCTTTCAGATACCTCTGCAGCAATTTCATTAGCAATCTGTATATCATAAACCATTCAACTTATCTTCTGAGATTGCGCATCAGAGTCACTTTCACAAACCCAAGAGAATGAGACAGAACAAAAGAGGGGGAAAAAAATCCTAAAGAAACCAAATTAAAGCATTGTAGGTATATCATCATTGACTACAATCCTTTGCCACAACCAAATAAGGTGCAAACTCAAGTCCCAATTCAGAAGCACTAGAACTATTCATTAAGCAAGATATTGTTTAAAGATTATGAATAAAACTCTGACCTGATAATTGACATTCATGCTTAGAAGGAAAAACAGTAAGCAAGTCCTGATATTGGGATTTCAGGAAAGTGATCATTTTGTGGCATATTGTAGAATCCTAACAATTTTCTCAAAATGACTTGTCATATGTTTTATGAGTCAGCAGTCAAGTCCACATGAAAAAACCTCAGTAGGATTCATTTATAACTCGAAGAGAAAAACAGTTAGGAACTTCTTTTCAAACTTCAAGGACATTTTGGCCTAAGTAACAATTGTGGTTACATATAAGATAAAATAGATTAAACATACCTCAGCATATGTGGTGCTTCCCTTACTCTCCAACTTCTTACAAACTGGAAAAGCCATCAGAGCCAATATAGATTTTAAAACCAAATCACATTCACATTTTAACAGCAAAGACACTAAATACAGGAAGTTAAATGGTTTTAGAAATAAGAATAACTAACCTATAGAACTGATTTCACGCAGCCCAAGAGCCCCAGCAACAATTCTTGATACACCTTTTTTCAATGAGCTGATTCTTAAGGGAAAAAGAAAACAAAAGTGTCACAGACTTAATGCAGCCAAATGGTCACTGTTGGTTACCATTTGAATACAAATAAAGTAAAAAAGAACAGAAATCATTAGCAGTTTCAAGTTAATCACCCAGTAACAACAGCACTGGTGTTCTCATGGTCAAGAGTAGTCTCATTCAGTTCCTGAGTACCATCAGGAGTGGATACACAACTCCAGCTTATTGAAGAAGCAAAAGGACTCTCTGAACCAGAATGACTATCCACTTTATGCTTTCTGCCCATCATAATCTAACTCCAAGCACAACAGTAGAAGCAAACGTTCTGCTCTCAATTTCCTAACCCCAAACTCCAATCAAGAGCTACAGCCACACAAAAACAAGATACCATAAAAGGATTAATGCAGGCCACAAAAATCTCATAAGCAAGAGACGATACAAACAACGAAACCATGATCATAAACTAATAAACCACTCATCCCTTTTCACTGATTCTACATTCTCAAAATGCAATAAGATTTGCTCACTAATCCTGACATTAAAAATTTGAGACCATGATAAATCAACATTGAGAGTTCCACGTCAAATGCTAAAAGATTATCTAAGATAACGTCCAATTTGCATTCCTTCAACTTGAAATCCAATCAGAACGACCAAATCAGAAGTACTAGCAACCATCAAATTCTTGAACTAAACCCAAAATCAAATAATTCTCAGTTTTCAAACATTGAAAAGAAGAAATCTGTACCCTTCTTGTTCTAATTTGGGAACTCAAACACATACAAAACCAAAAGTTACAGAAAATATTTTAAAAAACTAACAAAATAAAGTTCATTCAAATTTCTGTGCAGTGAATATAAATTAGCAGATTTTGCACGAACGGAAAATGAAAAACGCACCGGAAAATAGATCAGTTAGTAAGATCAAGAGCAGTGGAAAACCCTAAACTGCGGTCTAATCTAAAGACCTTTTGAACAACCAGACACGACTCTTCCGCTTCCCGCTAAATATTTTGCAGGGAATGGCATCGGAGATAAATCTCTCTCTCCGGGTGCTCATCGTGAAATCTTGATATTACCCCGAACTGCTTGGTTGAGATTACAGAATAGCCCACGGTTGCGCATGTGTCAGGCTTCTATTGGCTTCTAAATTGGGCTTTCAAACTTGGGCCTCCAATAACTGCGTTGACCATGTATGTTTGTCGACAATAATTTCTCACGTCAAATTATAATTTATTGACTATTTTCACTGTATGCAGCTACTTTATTTGTTGTCAACAATCCATCCACATTTTTATTTTTATATAATTTATAATTTTCTTTGGCTTAGAAAAGTTAGGAATCACCAAGGTAAATAGATGATTGCTGAAATGGCCATCCAGAGATGATAAATTACCGTGTAGAAAGAACTCAAGGGACAAAAACATGTTGAATTATGAAAACTATTTACATTGTTTAGCTCTAAAACTTTCAGGATCAAGAAGTCTGAGCATTAGCTTCTCTAGCCTCTTAGAACTTACAGTTGGTTTGACAGCATTTGGGTTCCCATACACTACACATGGTTCTTTATCCGAGAAGGAACGCCCTACACACCAGCCCCCAGGTGTAACCTGGCCTTGTGGTCTCCCCAAGAGCACCTTGTCGATTTTGTTCAGAACTGGGTCGTCCTTGGCAAACCGACGGGCAAAAGGGGCTCCGCTCTGAACCATGTCGTCAAAGTATTCTGATGTTAGGGTGATTGGGTGCTGCTTCGGAGGGTTATCCCACTTTATGTAATGTAAGTCATGGTTCACCGTGGTGTTCTGGTAATCTTTGTGGTTGCAGATGACAGTGTGGAAGTAGCCTTCTGGAGAGGACAGGAAATTGGTGTAGTACATGAGGAGAGTGCGTGGGAGATTGTCCCATCCCCAAACACAGAATTCAAGAAATGGTTTTGTCAATATCACCCACTCAGAACCTGGAATTACAAAACCCAGAGTTTAAATGAAGCTACTATACATATATGATATTATCCAAGTTCAGTCGAGGTATATATCTATAGAAATTGGAAGATCTTTTAAACAAGATGCAGCATGTGAACTAGATAGACATACCAAATAAAAAAGGTTTGTATACAAAATTAGAACCCAAGAATTGCAAAAATCTCCAGGAACTGTCAATTCAAACTAAGAAAAAAACCAAGAAAAATGTAAAAGCATTACCTGTGAATAGCTTAAAATAAGCTGGCATGGATCTCTTCTCTTTAGCCCAAAATACACCAGATTTCTTTGATTGATACAAGCCTGGATCTATAATGATAGGCCTTGCTCTTTGATATCTGTAAATACAAAATAAAGTCACAAATGGAGGAAGTCATGGAACCGGCAAGCAATCACCAGATAATAAAACACTACTAAAGAAGTAAAGATGAGCGGGACAAGGGTTGAATCCTCACTCTTTCCAGCCAATACCACTAGTGTGCTCCAGGAAGTTCAGATCCCTTGGTAAGTACGAAAAAATATGTATGATATCTGAAACATAACAGACATTACAGACAAGCAGAAGCAATACCACCATACAAAGATATATTCTACATTTATCATTACAGCCAAGAATAAAGTTTCAAAGATCCTCGCCACAGAATGGGAGAAAGGAAGACATTATAACCATCAAGAAACCAGCTTGCACCAAGCACCACAGATACCATCAGCATTTTTCCATTTCAAACAGAAGCTACATCAAAATTACCTGGTCCACTACTCTTTCTACACTCACCATCAATTATTAGCTTGCTTTAAAATGCCAGTCACCAGATTCAGTACAGCAATTAATTTCTACATCACAAGGCTTAGTATAAATCCATAAACTCTGCATTTCCCCCTATTATTTCATCGCAATTTTACTCATGTGTTTAGTGCTTGATTACAAGTTATGACACAAACACTCCTTCATAAGCTTTAACCCATCTAAGAAACAAAAACCATTTCAGCCAACTATTTTTTACAGGCATCTCTACAATACATCAGACCCAGTTACTAAATCAACTCCACTCAACAAAGTACATAACCTAATAATTTTTAACAGAAATTTCTCCATTAAAATGTAGCAGCAAACATAAATTTCTATAAACCCAAATCAACACACTTACCATCTTGGGACATGAGAGGGTAATCCGAGGCACTGAGATTCACAAACCAATCCCAATCCTTCGCCCGCTTCAACAGTATCGCAATCGCATGAAGCGTGCTGGCGATCACCGTCGGCCCCTTGTAAGTCAACAAATTCGCCTTTCCAATCACCATCACATTCCCAAAATCCCTCATCACCCCTTCCGATTTCACGTACCTCGCCAACTCCATCCTCTCCGCATCCGAAGCTTCCAGATCGAGGTGGACCACATAGTAATTCCACGGATGATACACCGCCTGCAACAACCGCTTGACCAGCGGCCCATCCCCATTCGTCCCCGATATCAGGTACGCGAATCTCGGTAATCCAGGAAGCCCACCGACATCCCGGTCGGAAACAGTAAATTGCTGGTGGTTAAAAGAAAACTCAGAACCCGAAGAAGACAACTTACCGTGCCATAGGGTTAATATCAGAAGAAGGGTAACAGAGAGTATCGAGATGACCGTCACCGGGATCACCCATGGTCGATCCAGAGAATGCTGAAGGTGAGCTTTTTTCATCAAATAAGGTTAATTTCTGGGTGATTTAGGACAAAATCGCTAAAACTTCGGAGGATTTTGGACAGATGCAAGAAATATTGGGGTAAGGCGAAGTGTCCGAGTTCGTATCGGCATCGGGGTTTGGTTTTCTGACTTTTTTTTCCTTTTTTTTTTCTCTCCGGATGGTGTCGTAGGAGAGGGAAAAATAATATTCGGTGGAAATTAAATTTGGGCCGTCGGTTGCGATTGGGTGCGACTTGTTGTTCATTGTAATTCTTTGGTGATCGTTGATTGGTTGGAGGTGGGGAATGTGATGGACAAAACAACTGCTTCTGCAGCGTCTGATCATTGATGACAAAAGATTTCCCGGCGGCAAGTGGATGGCACGGTAGGTGAAGTCCAAAAAAATTGAAAAGAAAGTAAGAGGAGTGCATTAAAGCAAAGTAAATTGAGGTGTGAGGTGGGGTGTCAATGATATTCGGTTCATGACAGATGGAGTATGGGATTAGGTAAAATTTGTCCTTATCAAGTCAAATCAGCATCAAAATTTAAGTGTTTTTAATCCAATGGTTTCACAATTTGTTGGTAGGGGGGGTTAGGTTGCGTTGAAGATATTATTTCCGCTGCAGTTTTTCTCATGATATCTCATGAAAATATTAATTTATAATAAATTAATTGATTTTAATTAATATTTTATATGATTTTATAATTAATTAATATATAAAATTTTTTGAAAGCAATTATAAATGATTTTTTAATTTACATTTTGTTAAAGTTATTTTTTCCGCTGCAGTTTTTCTCATGATATCTCATGAAAATATTAATTTATAATAAATTAATTGATTTTAATTAATATTTTATATGATTTTATAATTA